GAGGGAATTTGTCATTTAAATATTTTCTTGATACACATGTATGTGTACATGTACTTGCATTTCCTTGAATAAGGGCCCTATTCAAATAAATGCCTATCACTAATATATTACAACTATAAATATGCATATTTACCCAGTATTATGTGCAACTACATGTATGCTTAGAGTGGTCCAAATAGCCTAACTTCATCTGTCATCCTGATATCACAAGGTCGTGAATTAGAAACCAAGTTTTGGCATTTGTTATTTTTTGTTGTGATTTTTTCTCTGTTAAGCAATAAGTGCCTAGGTTCTTATTTGAAGAAATATGGTACTTATCTTGTTTAAAAAGTTTGAGCTCATTCCAATCAAAATTGGATTTTTTTAGTTTTTAAAATTGCTCCAAAATCGGGCCAAGGTCCTGTGCTGTAGTACAGGGTCATTGGCCAGAATTGACTAGGAGAGAATTCTCCATTTTATTACATTTCTGATGCATATACATGTACATGCACTTACATGTAAGTTCAGTTGTGTAGATAGTTTGAGCTGATTCCAATCGAAATTAATTTTTTTATGAATTTTTAAAGTTACTCAAAATTGGGTTCAAGTCATGCACGTAGTTATGGCATGTACATAAGTCATACATGTAATTATGGCATGTGCATGTACATGCATGTATGGTCTATGTCTAATTGCCAGAGTACTCTTGCTTATTGTCGCATGTCTATATGCTTAATTTTGATATTGTAAATTCAATCTTATTAATGATCATTAAGCCAAGATAATTAATTAATCAAAAATGTAATATTACAGCTAAGCAAAAAGAGGCCTAAAAATAAACTGTGCATGTCTTATAGTGTTGCATGAGTCCTAAAGTTCTTGGCTTTTAGCTGATGAGCTCCATTACTGAGCATCACAATAGTGATACGCGAAATTATCAGCATTATTGACTGCTCTATCAGGATTGTTTTGAGCCAAATCTTTGCAATCAGTACGACCGTACTCATAATCTTCAGTATCACCAAAACTGTGGGACCATTCATGAAGCAGAGTACCCTCCTTGCTTTCAGCAGATGTACTGCAAGACGTTTGAATATTGTAGTACAGGTTACAAAGATAGACAGTATCTTTAATATTTGACCATACATAGGCATACTCGTCAGCTTCACAGTCTGGGCCATTGTTGTAGTATGTTACAGCAGTCGTAGATAGTCCATTATTTATATCTGTATATACTTCCTTAGCCTCAGCTGTCCTTCCAGCATCATATGCACCAAACCATGTAGTGGATATAGTAATATTATCGCCAACTTTACCTTTAGCTGTATTAGATCCAGAGCAGAGCTTCTTATGAGCAGTCAGTGTTGCAGAATTCTGATTATCGCCACCAGAAAAACTGGCACTGCTACAGGATTGGAGATGGACAGTGTAATCGATTTTTATTTCTTGTCTTTTTGGTTTCGAGAGAACAGAAGTGTCTTTTAAGTAAAGTTGAACGGATTCATGTACAAACGATTCCTTGAGCTGATCAATAGACATTGCACTCATCTCATTCACTGACAGATACTGTAAAGGTCTACTGTATTGTACAGTGTAGAGACCATCAGTATCAATGCTAAAGGCATCAGTGATTTGGACTGTTGCAGAAATACTTTCACCTGCCTTCAAGAAAACAAAATTTTCCTTTGCAGGAGGGGCACGACGCACATACATGCCTTCATATTCCAGTGAACGACCGTCAAGAGAGACAGAAACAAATTGAGATCTGAGTCCTTCAAGAGGAGTGTTACGTTTGAGTAGATAAAGATCCTCATTTGCATTGTTGGTAAACTCAAAAGAGCAAGCAACTGCAGAAAGAGCTTTATTACAAGACATGTCAAGAGAGACTGGCCAGCCATTAGCACTGCATGTACAAGAGAAAAGTAACATTGATTTGATATTGTAGTAACATACCTCAGAGCACAGGTCAGGTAAGTAACCAGACAGAAGAGTGAGAGTAGAGCCTTCATGATTCCTTTCCTTGATAGACAGTATTCCTTCTTATGAGATGATTTCTTGTTTTAGTGAGAAGTGATTCACTGCTGTTGGTCACCTCTTTATATAGTATTAGGTACCTCATCAATATTCATTAGCAATTAAACAAAAACTGACCAATCAGAGGCTAGCTGCATGACATTAATCATTTTGAACAAAAGGTCTTTGTATATACCTATGACTTTATACTTAAAATTTCAACAGTTAAAGTGCATGTACCTATGACTTTATACTTAGAATTTCAACAGTTAAAGTGCATGGCCAAGCTACTACGTACACTATCTAACTTTCCAGTGAAATGAGTATAACTAGAGTATTCACTTCCTCTAGTATTAACATGTTAGAGTTTGCAAGTAAATACAAGAGAGAGGAAGAGAGAGAGAGAGAAAGAGAACAAAAACAAGAAGCATTCAAAGAATAAGACTATAACAACTGCAACAAGTAACAACCACAGAATGTGCCTGCATCAGAACTTATATGATGGATAACAATATTCATACACAGTAATAATAACCACAAAGCTAAACATACATTTACTGTAAGTATTACATCTTTACATGTAATATCAGATTGATAAGTGCTAATATAATACATCTTGCATATAACAGTCAATAAACCTTGAAGCAAATCAGTACATAACCATTATTTGTCCCTAACAACATCAATATGCATCAGAAAATGTAATAATAAAACTTTGGGATGGTTTTGGAGCCATATTTTGGAAAAAAAACCATGGGCTATAGCCTTTGCTTTCTTTGCAAAAATTGGTCTGCCTAAAAAAATTTCATAATTCAAAAAAAATTTTCAGAATCAGCTCAAACATTCTTCACAGCATAAGGACATCAATATGCATCAGAAAATGTAATTAACTTGGAGCCATTTTTCACAAAAGCCATGGATTGTGTACCTTAATTGCCTTCACTGCTTTTCAAAGAAACAGAATCATTACAATTACAATGTACATGTACATGTACATCTTATGTTTCATATAATAAGAAAGCAAATTGCAAAAAAGAGGACTACCATATAGCAGGAAATTTTGAAGGGAGTCAGTTAAATTTGGCAAATTTGATGTTACCTTGAGGTCTACCTTTAATTGTACAATGACTGCATGTACATGTATGTGCATACATGTACATGCACAATGACAGTATGCAGTTTATTGGCATGCTAACCTTTCACTTCTCTTTGGAAGTAGTGGTTATGTTTCTGACATTGCTGTAGACTTTGCTTGTCAATGAACAATGATTGCTGCAAAACACATCCTTTAAAATAGAAGACCACACCTAAATGATGATGCATTATCCAGGAACTAATTATTAGGCTTGGTTGTCACAATGGAATACATTCAATCATGATTAAGTGTATGGTATAGGAGTTATATTTTACTGAAAGTTAATTTCACATTTTCATTAAATTCATGAGATTAAATTCCGCAATAGAGATGTGGCACACTAGGAAGAATGGCTGCAGAAAGTAAGATTTGCAAAAATTTACATCAAAAAATGGCAAATCTGAACAAATTCACAAAATTTTATACCAACAAAATAAAACTTCTGTATGGTATCTTCCTTGCTTTCACTAGTCTTGCTACAATCTGATTTGCCTAATGTGGTTTATTAATCAGCACTGTACTAATGTATCATGGTCGCATGCATGTTTGGTCTATGTCTAATTGCAAGAGTACTCTTGCTTATTGTCACTTGTCTATATGCTCAATTTTAATAATTTTAATTTAAATTTTATTAATGATCATTAAGCCAAAATAATTATCAAAAATATTAAGCAAAAAGAGGCCTAAAGCAGCAAAAATAAACTGTGCATGTCCTATAGTGTTGCATGAGTCCTGAATTTCTTGGATTTTAGCTGATGAGCTCCATTACTGAGCATCACAATAGTGATACGCGTAGCTATCAGCATTTTTGACTGCTCTACTGGGCTTGTTTTTAACCAAACATTAACATGTAAACATATCATGTACCCTATTACTTAATTATGTACTCTTGCTAAGACATATGCAAGGTTTTTATTAAGTTCTACCAAGAGTACATAATAGTTGGTTCTGCATACACACCAATCACTATGCATTCAGGCAACATTTACATTGATTATGTAATAAGCATCACATTGCCATATCCTGTTCCATTATTGGCAACTACAAATGTTGCATATACTTGTAAAAATGTAAATCCCAGCCAATTTGTGGCTGCTCTGATGTTACAGGTAACATGCTGTCAAAACAGGATTTCTTTATTTTATGGCCAAATTCATTTTTGTCAAATATACATGTATGTACTGTGTAACGAGAAATGTTGCCATAAAAATACCTTAATGAGACACCTGCAGTGCTTGGACTCGCTGCAGTTGCCCTTGCATTTATGGACTATTAAAAGCAATGAATCATGGGCTTCATCTCCATCATGCAGCATGTTAGAGATAATGACCATGATCCATTGCTTTTAATAGTGTAAGTTCAGTACCAACTCAAGTCAAAGAGCTATAAAAAACTAATACCTATTATCATGGCAAAGATACTGTTGTCTTGATAGATTTTATTTATTTAAATGCAAGCAGCTAAGATTGCATGTAAAATTGCCTATTATTATTAGCGGTGTGGCTTCTTTGTAATAAAAATGGCCTTAGCATGACATGTGACTGAAAAAAACTGAAGTTTTTTTCTTCTTATAAGTGGCTTATGATAAGTAATATTTATGTGATATTTTGTCCTGTAGTTTTTATCAACTGTTTAGCTCACTTAAGCATGCTTTGTGGGGAACCCTGTTTGAAGTGATGTACAGAACAAACCAACTACATGTACAGTACATCTAGTACACAGTATTTGGACAAGTTTCATCTAAATTAAAAAGGAGGGAATTTGTCATTTAAATATTTTTCTTGATACACATGTACATGTACTTGTATTTCCTTGAATAAGTGCCCGACTCAAATAAATGCCTATCACTAATATAATATTATTACAACTATAAATATGCATATTTACCCAGTATTATGTGCAACTACATGTATGCTTGGTAATGGTCCAAATAGCCTAAAGGCCTTTCTACACCTGTCCACTTTGGATCCAGAATTTAGACAAAATCCAGGATTAAAGCAGGATTAGCTTGTTGACACTTGTCTTGAATCAGGATTGAAGCAATCCACATCCAGAGGTGGATTGAAGTAGATTGATCTTAATTAATTATTCATGACCTGTACAAGCCAATGCAGTTTAATTCACTTTCAATTCTTTTCAAAGTAGCTTAGCGTGAGCAGAACCAAAGAGGATTCTATTTTAGTAGGCTGCAATTCTGGATCCAAAGTGGACAAGTGTAGAAAGGCCTTATAACTTTTCATCTGTCATCCTGATATCACAAGGTCATGAATTAGAATCCAAGTTTTGGCATTTGTTATTTTTGTTGCGATTTTTCCTCTGATAAGCAATAAGTGCCTAGGCTCTTATTTGAGGAAATATGGTACTTATCTTGTTTAAAAAGTTTGAGCTCATTCCAATCAAAATTGGATTTTTTTAGTTTTTAAAGTTGCTCCAAAATTGAACTTAGGTCCTGTGCTGTAGTACAAGAGTACAGGGTCATTGACTAGAATTGACTAGGAGAGGATTCTCCATTTTATTACATTTTCTGATGCATATACATGTACAATGTACATGCACTTACATGTATGTTTTGTAGATAGTTTGAGCTGATTCCAATCGAAATTAATTTTTTTAAGTTACTCAAAAATTGGGTTTAAGTCATGCATGTAGTTATGGTATGTACATGTACATGCACGTATGGTCTGTGTCTAATTGCCAGAGTACTCTTGCTTATTGTCGCATGCCTATATGCTCAGTTTTGATATTTTTAATTCAATTTTATTAATGATCATTAAGTCAAGATAATTAATTAATCAAAAATGTAATATTACAGTTAAGCAAAAAGAGGCCTAAAGCAACAAAAATAAACTGTGCATGTCCTATAGTGTTGCATGAGTCCTAAAGTTCTTGGCTTTTAGCTGATGAGCTCCATTACTGAGCATCACAATAGTGATACGCGTAACTATCAGCATTTTTGACTGCTTTACTGGGCTTTTTTTTAGCCAAATTCTTGCAATCAGTACGACCATACTCAATATCTTTAGTACCGGCAAAACTATGGGACCATTCATGAAGCAGAGTACCTTCCTTGCTTTCCTTAGTCTTACTGCAAGACGTTTGAATATTGTAGTACAGGTTACAAAGATAGACAGTATCTTTAATATTTGACCATACATAGGCATACTCGTTAGGTTCACAGTCTGGGCCATTGTTGTAGTATGTTACAGCAGTTTTAGTTAGTCCACTTTTTATTTTTGTATATACTTTCTTAGCCTTAGCTGTCCTTCTAGCTTTATATTTACCAAACCATGTAGTAGATATGCCAATACCTTTGCCAACTTTACCTTTAGCTGTATCAGATCCAGAGCAGAGCTTCTTATGAGCAGTGAGTGTTGCAGAATTCTGATTATTGCCACCAGAAAAACTGGCACTGGTACAAGATTGGAGATGGACAGTGTAATCGATTTTTACTTCTTGTCTCTTTGGTTT